GGGAAGTAGGGAGGGAAGAAGTAAGAGATGGAGGGAAGTTTGCGACGGGCAGAGGGAGAGAGAGAGAGAGAAAGGAATGTTGTGGTGGACGTGCCCCTGTACCCGGCTCCTGTGGGTCCTGTGAGCAGTATACCATCACTACCGCCATACTACACACCTGTAACCCCCCCCCGTCACTACAGGCGTGGCCTTCTCACCACCACAGGTGTGTGGGGGGGGGGGGGTCTCCCCATCCTATCCCAGCTCCTTGTCCTCATATCCCAGCTCCTTGCCCTCATACACCAACTTCTTGTCCTCATACCCCAGCTCCTTGCCCTCATACCCCAACTTCTTGTCCTCATACCCCAGCTCCTTGCCCTCATACCCCAACTTCTTGTCCTCATACCCCAGCTCCTTGTCCTCATATCCCAGCTCCTTGTCCTCAAACCCCAGCGCCTTGTCCTAGTAACCCTACCATGTATGATAGTCTTTCTGGCATAGAGCTTTCTCCTGATAGTTTGCTTACCAGCAGAAGCAGTGGTCCATCCTAACCTCTCCTATAAAAGTATTAAATAGTAATCGTTCGTCATACCGGTGCTCTTAAGATGCTAAAGATCCTTTTTCTCTGTCGATCAGGGCTAGAATAATTGCTTTTGTTAGATTTTGTAAATGTGTGAAGTTGTTTGGTGCACGGCTGTCCTTGTTTGGTGCACGGCTGTTCTTGTTTGGGGCACGGCTGTTCTTGTTTGGGGCACGGCTGTTCTTGTTTGGTGCACGGCTGTCCTTGTTTGGTGCACGGCTGTTCTTGTTTGGTGCACGGCTGTACTTTGTTGCATTGTTTAAGCGTGTTTGTGATACCACCGTTGTGGTATTTGTTGTTCTACTGTGATTGTTTGTGTCATTGCTGTGCTGGTAAGTTGTTTCGTTGTTTATAGTTGGGTTGTTTCCCTGTCTCGCCTCGAGGGGGGGGGGGGGTGTTTATGGTTCCCCTTTGCTTGTGTTATACCCCCCCCCCCCCCTCACCTTCCCTACATCTTCCTCCTCTTCTGACCACTTCGCCGTGGCGGCGAAGTGGTCAGAAGCCCGCCAAAACCTGACCCCTCGCCCTCTGTTATAGATTCAGCTACTCTGAACAAGTTCCAAGTAGCACGGGCTATGGTGAGCCCGTAGTGGACTTACCTGGCACAGGAGCGGGGCTGTGATGCCCTCGCCCTCATTACACCTTTAAGATATGTCAAGGTGGATAGGAGTGGACAGGAGAGGGAGAGAGGGGGGGAAGAGGGAGGAGGAGAGGTGGGGGGGTTAGATGAGGTAATTTCTAAGATGTCACACGAGGTGGTGTGGGTGGTGCCAGTGGGCTGTGTGCCGGGGGACAAGGGCAGGTACACAGGGAGGTGTCACGCTTTCACCTACGAGGTGAAGGTGGTAGGTGGTAGGGAGGAAGATGGTGGTAGGGAGGAAGATGGTGGTAGGGAGGAAGATGGTGGTAGGGAATGGGAGGTAGGCAGTGGGGTGAGAGTTCTCTCATAGCTGTGCTTGTGGGAGTTAAACGCCAGCTCCTGGGTTCCGCCTTATCTCTACTCATGTAGCGCTGTAGTTGAGTCTGTCTTCACTATTTCACTTGTTAACCAATATATATACATCCTCCTGGTAATGAAACAAATATTACTAATATCACTGATATGTGGTTTATTCGTTCCAGTGCGACCTTGCTGGCTTTTCCTGCCTGCCACTTTCCCTGGAGATTTTGTATGTGGTGATCAGGTCACCCGTTTCGTCTCATTAAAGCAACGTGAGGTATGTAATTGCTGTCTCCTCATAACTAGGCCTCTCAGGTGACAAACTTTTAAACTGTCTAAGGTCGGTTTCGGTACTGGAAGGTTAAGTGTTTGGAGATCGCTAATTTGCTCAACCCGCATTCATATCCCAGCGTCTTGGCCTCATGTCCCAGCGCCTTGGCCTCGTATCCCAACACCATGGCCTCGTATCCCAGCACCTTGGCCTCGTATCCCAGCGCCTTGGCCTCATATATCAACGTTTTGGCCTCGTATGTCAGCGTCTTGGCCTCGTATCCCAACACCATGGCCTCGTATCCCAACACCATGGCCTCGTATCCCAGCACCTTGGCCTCATATCCCAGCGTCTTGGCCTCATATCCCAGCACCTTGGCCTCATATCCCAGGTGCGCAAGGTTCTGAATGACTCCCTTTTCACATTTCTCAATGTGTCCATTTGATGACCAAGTTCACATAGGCAGGTGGAGTTGAACTGCCCAGGTGTTGCCGTGTCCTCGTGCCGTCTTCCTCCGTATATATCCTCAGACCGCGTGCACGTCTTAACCATGACAAAACAAAAAGTACCAATAGTAAAAATAAACGTTGTTTACTGGACTATTTCCCATGTGAGATTCACATAAGATAGAAATAGTACCGGGCCTATAGTACTTAATACTATTATAGGAGTGGATAGTCCTATAGTACATCCTATAGTACTTAATACTATAGGTTCTGGTATTAACCCTTTTGAGACACAGCTGGTAACCACACTCTGGGTTTTTTGTAATCGTGCAAAAAAAGCAAACAAAAAAGACTTTTTTTAACTGTTGAAGGATGTTCCCTCTTTACTCCTGCCTGGTTCTTCAACCTGTGTACTAGTCTGGTGTGTGGTACTGTGCGCAGGACTCTCTGACAGTCCGGTAAAATGCAGTCTGTCAATCCACTTCGCTTCGCAGGAGGCCTAACGCCTCTTGTGAGTGTTTATGTGAGGGGTGACGACCGCGTATGCCATGAGTTGGAGTGCAGATGATTTGAGAGAGGAGAGGAATAAAGTAATTTTAGGGAGAGAGAGAGAGAGAGAGAGGGGTGGGATAGAGAGAGAGAGAGAGAGGTAGAAATGGAAAGTGGTTGGGGCAGAAGGTTGCCAGGATAGGTAGGTAGGTAGGTGGGGGTAGTGAAGTAACGGGTGTGGGATGAGAGTGAGAGTTTGCCCGGAGGGCGCTACCTCAGTACGTGCAGTGAGTACCCAGCGAGAGTGAGGGTGATGGGGCCACAGGGAGGGGGGGAGAGTAAGGGTGATGGGGCCACAGGGAGGGGGGGGAGAGTAAGGGTGATGGGGCCACAGGGAGGGGGGGGAGAGTAAGGGTGATGGGGGAGCTACAGGGTGTAGCGAAAACACAACCATCTTGACTCACGCCTCGGTATAAACACAAATCTATATGAAAAGTTTTCGATTCTATATATAACACAATTTAAATAATAATAGTAAACAAAGTCACCAACATCAATAATAATAATAATAGAGGAAGCATTATAATTACTAAAGTAATGAATGAAAAGTTGTAGAGGCCCATTAAAAAGTACTCTGGTTGTTGGGGTTTGGCCAGAACAGGTTTGTAGGGTTGGCCAGGACAGGTGTGTGGCTTGGTCAGGTCAGGTGTGTGGGTTGGTCAGGTCAGGTCAGGTCAGGTGTGTGTGTGGGTTGACCAGGCAAAGCAGGTGTTTGAACTGTGGCTGACTTTCACTTTCTGGATGCAGAAAAGCAGCTATAAGGACTCGTTCTCAGTCACATGAATATATTTACCTAGATGTAATTACAAGGTTGAATATCTACTCCCAAGCCCCGCCTTTCCGGCCTCCGATATGTTAACGCAATTACGTTTGTTCGCTTAGTTGCATCTGGAGATAATATTTTCTTGTGGCTCATTCCACTTGTTCCTAACTCTTGAACACGCGTCTTCTGCCGTCTCTCAGGAGGGCCAGTAGGAAGCACCGAGGAGCAGGAGGGTCAGAAGGAATTAGGAAGGCTGCGAGAGGGCTCCGGGTTCGATCCCCGGCACTTTGTATGTCGACACGGCCAGGTCCTTGCGACCGAGTGGACAACGCTCAGGAGTCGTAGTCCAAAGAGGCCCCAAGCTCGATTCTCGGTCGAGGCAGAAACAAATGGGTGCGGTTTTTTTCAACTGATGTCGCTGTTCGCCTCGTAGTAAAATAGATACTTGGGGGACCAGCTGTTGTGTCCTGTATCTTAGGCTGTGTGTGTGTGTGTGTTGGCGCTCGCGAGATACATATTGATATATGTAGTAGACATGTAGTTCGGGGTGTCATTATCACTGACAGGTTGATGTGACGCTGTTTCTGTTCCACTCTTTGTACTCTTACTCCAACTGTCTCTTCTCCCGTCTCTCTCTCTGTCTCTTCTCTCTCCTTCCTCCTTCGTCTCGCTCTTCCAGCTGTCTGTTCCTCCTTTCCCTTTGTTTCTCTCTCTCTTCCTGCCATTGCAGGCAGGGTTGTTGAGTTATGGGGGGGGGGGAACACCGGTAACATAGACGTGGGGGTTGCTGTGTTGTTTCAAGCGTAGGTTAGACATGTATGTGAGTGAGTTTGGGCGTGTGTGTGTAATTAGGCCCTGCTTCGTAAGGGCCACTATAGGCCTTCTGTATGTTGTTGTTAAAGATTTAGCTACTCAGGACGAAGTGTCCATGTAGCACGGGCTATGGTGAGCCCGTAACTTGCTTTCTGTAGGTTCCTTTTTTCTTTATATCACCTCTCTGCCTCTTCCTTCCCTGTCTGTATCTCTCCTCCCTCCCTCTTCCTTCCCTGTCTGTATCTCTCCTCCCTCCCTCTTCCTTCCCTGTCTGTATCTCTCCTCCCTCCCTCTTCCTTCCCTGTCTGTATCTCTCCTCCCTCCCTCTTCCTTCCCTGTCTGTATCTCTCCTCCCTCCCTCTTCCTTCCCTGCCTGTATCTCTCCTCCCTCCCTCTCTCCCTGTCTGTACCTCTCGTCCCTCCCTGTCTGTACCCCTCCTCCCTCCCTGCCTGTACCTCTCCTCCCTCCCTGCCTGTACCCCTCCTCCCTCCCTGTCTGTACCCCTCCTCCCTGCCTGTCTGTACCCCTCCTCCCTGCCCGTCTGTACCCCTCCTCCCTGCCCGTCTGTACCCCTCCTCCCTGCCTGTCTGTACCTCTCCTCCCTCCCTGTCTGTACCCCTCCTCCCTGCCCGTCTGTACCTGTAGGAGGGCTACTCACCGGCGGCGACACAGGCCAGGAGACACAGCAGGAGCTTCATGGCGGGGATGTTGGCGGTGGCGGGGTCGGAGACGGACTGTGCTGCTCCACACGCATCCTCCGTCTCTTAGGTGAAGGGGAAGGATTCACGAGGGTGGGGGATGGGAGGGGTGGCTGGAAGGGGTAGTGAGGAGCGGGAGGTGGTGTTTGACCTGTGACGAGAGGGAAGGTGAGGTAAAAGGGGCTGAGGAGGATGATGAGGATGATTATGAGGATGATGAGGATGATTATGAGGATGATGAGGATGATTATGAGAATGATTATGAGGATGATTATGAGGATGATGAGGATGATTATGAGGATGATGAGGATGATTATGAGAATGATTATGAGGATGATTATGAGGATGATTATGAGGATGATTATGAGGATGATGAGGATGATTATGAGGATGATGAGGATGATTATGAGAATGATTATGAGGATGATGAGGATGATTATGAGAATGATTATGAGGATGATGAGGATGATTATGAGGATGATGAGGATGATGAGGATGATTATGAGGATGATTATGAGGATGATGATGATAAACTGTGAGTTATTAGGCTTGTGATCAAACCAAAATGTTTACAATATGATGATATAACAACACCACATGTAACATAAATGTTGATATACTACAGTAATTATACAATATAGTGTATTATTTTATGAGGCGGCTTATGTAACCTAACCTGGCCCATACTGGCCTGTCCTATCCTATCTATACCCTGTCCTATCCTATTCGTACCTATCCTGTACTGATCTATCATCCTATCCTACCCTGGCCTAGCCCTGGACACGGGTAGGAGAGGCAGGAGACGGGCGGGATAGGGTGTCATTCTCACCATAACACTGATATTAACTCTGCTACACTGTGGTATCCGCGTGTATGGGACAACACGTACAGCGTCACGACCGTAAAGAGAGGGAAATTAATGACATGAACTTGACTTAGGGGAGGTGGGAGGTGGTAAGGGGGAGGGGGAGGATATGGGAAGGTGGGAGAGATGAATTGGAGGGCGTGGGGGGGTGGTGGACCCCATACCCATCCCGTGGGGGGGGTAGTGGACCCCATACCCATCCCGTAGATGGGATAGTGGACAACGTTACAGAGGCAATAATAACGGGATTAAGAGCTAGATTTCACTTCCTAGTAGTCACAGATAGGTAAGTACGATTGCTTGAATGAGGGAGGGGGTGTGGGGGGATATTTGACTTTGTAGAGTAAGAGTGGGAAATTGAAATTGAAATAAGTTTATTGAGGTAAAATACACACAAAGGGATGAGGTAGCTCAAGCTATTCTCACCCCGTTCAGTACATCGTGTTCATACATGTATAGACACACATCACAAACAATAAACATATTACCGAACCTTCTGAGAGTTAAACATATACATTTCCTAAGAGTGGGAAGGTAGGAGTAGGTGGGATTGTGGGAGGGATGTTACGACCCATGGGAGAGAGGTAGGGAGGTTGGGGTAAGGTTGGGGAGGGGGGGGGGGGAGAAAAAGGGTTAGTGTTGGTAGAAGGTCAGTGAGAGGTGGGTGGGGGGGGGCTGGAATGAAAGGTGAGGGGGTGGGGTGGGGAGAGAGGGAGGGAGGGGGAAGGGGGCTCAATTTGGGAGAGAGATGTTTTTTCCATTTTCTGAACTGTGTGGGGTCACCACTATAGTACCAGTCCTCGTGGGGTCACCACTATAGTACCAGTCCTCGTGGGGTCACCACTATAGTACCAGTCCTCGTGGGGTCACCATTATAGTACCAGTCCTCGTGGGGTCACCACTATAGTACCAGCCCTCGTGGGGTCACCACTGGTATCTGGGGTCCACTACCCCTTATCTTCCATTATTTGCGGCAAGCCACAATTTTTAATTGCAGTGGTATGCCTGTTATTTCTATTGTTACACTAGGTGCTTGAACCCCAGGTGGGTTACCCGGCGGTGCCCGGGTCGCCACACACCATCCTCTCCGGTGCGCGTGTGTGTGTATTTGTTATTTGTATCTGCAGAATCGAGCTATTAGCTCTTGGACCCCGCCTTTCTAACTAATCACTTTTTCCTCGATTATATTTACTACATATATTTCTACCTAACATATGCGCGCGCGCGCACACATCCCCAGGAAGCAGCCCGTAACAGCTGTCTAACTCCCAGGTACCTACTTACTGGTAGGTGAACAGAGCACCAGGGGGAAATAAACCCGGCCCATTTGTTCCCGCCTCCACCGGGCATCGAACCCAGAACCTCGGGACTATGAATCCCGAGCGCTGTCCACTCAGCTATCAGGCCCTCCTTGGTGGGGGAAGGGGGGGGGTATGGGGAAGAGGGAGATAGTATTGTGTGCATGAAAGGTCTCAAGAGAACAAGAAAGGCCGCCGCTGCTATAGTAAAATAGGACATAAAAAAAAGGTGGATGGGGCGGTGAGCCTGGAGTTACCTGTGCCAAGTCTCCAGTGGTGAAAGGTCACCTGGGCGTGGCGGGGTATGTCAAGGTCGCTGGAACAAGAAGTCGTCCTAACGAGCAGTAATGGTCGTTATTTGTTTAGTAATCAGGGTCATTATTACTGGTTGTGGTAAGGCAGTGACACTAATATTAAGATAACTGTACTTTAACTAATAAATAGCTCCCACACTGTGTGATGGTGGGGTCCCCAGTCCCCCAGTATGTGATGGTGGGGTCCCTAGTCCCCCAGTATGTGATGGTGGGGCCCCCAGTCCCCCAATATGTGATGGTGGGATCCCCAGTATGTGATGGTGGGGCCCCCCAGTCCCCACATGGTTAACTGGAATGCTCAGGAGTCTTTAGCCAGGTTCTTATTCATATTTTCTCTTGTGACCACAAACTATTAGGATGTCTCTATAATTACTCGCCCTTAAGTGCCCTAGACGAGGCTGTAAAGTGACCCCTCGTATGCAAAATGCCTAATTAAGTCCGGACCAATTAGAAATCGTAATGATTTTCGCATATTAAATCTACTCACCGCAAAGACATCGAAGCAAAATTCCAAGTTTTTATGGCGGGAAAAAGGAAAATTTGCTGTATAATCCATATATGAATATACAGTACAAAGGTACATATCTTGTACATATATTTTTTCAGGGCAAACAAGAGTGGGATCCAAAGCTTTCGGATGGCATTTTGTAAATGTTATCCTGATTGTGAAAGTGTGAGGTGAGGCTGGCGTCACGAGTTTGACAGTCACCGTGGCTCTGTGATAGGTGGCGGGACTCGGGGTTGGCCACCTACATCAGCCTGCTGAAGGTTAGGGCAGGGGAACACACCCATCGCGCCTAGGAAGTCTTCCACCAGGGGAGGGAGGGGGGGGTGGAAAGACGCACATAGCGGAGAAGAGAGTGAATGAACGAACCACCGAGAGGTTAGAGGGGGACAATGCTTCTTAGAGAGAACGACAACACTATCGACCAAAGGTGTGTGTATGTGTGTGTGTGTGTGTGTGTGTGTGTGGGTGTGTGTGTGTGTGTGTGTGTGCGTGCGTGCGTGCGTGCGTGCGTGCGTGCGTGCGTGCGCGAGTGAGTGGGTAGGTGGGTGGGTTTTTGGGTGAGTGGGTGAAAAAACACGCACGCAATCGCGCACAGGAATCTGAAAGGAAGAGAGGTTTGGGAGTGGATATGATTGCAACACCAGAGGCACACACAGGCAGGGTGACATCAGCAGCATATGGGACGCTGACGAACATCAAAACGTCGTTTAGAATCCTAAATCTGAACTTTCATAACACTCTACACAGCTCCTGTTAGACCAATACTGGAATATGCAGCACCATCATAAAATTAAAACTGAAAAAAGTGCAGAGGTTTGCAACTCGTGTCAAAGCAACGTGGGGTTAGCTATGAGGAACTGGCCCTCGCAGCCCCCAACCTGGAGGACAGAGGAAACAGAGGAGATATGATCACAACATACACGATAATGAGAACTGGCAAGGTGGATAAGGCCATCCTCTTTAAATTGAGAAAAAATAGGACAAAGGGACACAAGTGGAAGTGAATGCACCGAGAAGCAGCAGTTGTGGAAGCCACCTCTATCCACAACTTTAAGGGTAGATTCGACAAAGAATTTGGACTTCAGAATATGTTGAGCTATACAAGAGAGGCCAGTAGGCTGGGCACACAGAGCTACACCTCAATACTCCGTAGTCACTAATAGGTAAGCGCGTGCATACATTCGCCCCAGGTCAACCCAGGAAGGATTTACTGGGCACTAGACCTATACCTGTTCACCCAGCAGTAATTGTGACCTTGCTGTAAACCGATTGGCGGATTGTGTACCAGGGAAAACTAGTAGGGGTAAGGCTTACCATAAGCTGTGGGAAGGGGGAAGCTCTCAACCTGCTAACAGCAGTCAGAAGTTATCTGCTGCTGTACCACCTGAGAGAGAGAGAGAGAGAGAGAGAGAGAGAGAGAGAGAGAGAGAGAGAGAGAGAGAGAGAGAGAGAGAGAGAGAGAGAAGCAGGCCGTGCAAGAGTTTTGAACCGCTTATCAAAACGTGAGTTCAAGGCCAGAAGAGGAGAAAGTGTATCATGTTGGACCCAGTAATACTTTCATTTATTATGTACAGATCCTGACCACCTCAGAGTACCAGTCATGTCAGGATCATGGCACTCCTCTATGGGCCTTACTGAGGTGACCATCCATGACCCAGTAGAGGGGAGGAGAAAGATGAGGGTGTGACAACGACCTTGTGAGGGAGAGAATGAGTATAAGAAGTGTGTGAGGTGAGGGCGTGGTGGTGAAGACTTGCAGTGTGAGGCCAGGTATGGGCCGGACGCCCAGCGTGTCTGCTCTCCCGACCCTCTAACACTGTGAAAACATCTCCAGTCACATACACACAGTGATAAGCCTCACAACTTAATGCTTGTATAGCCCTATCATTCTTCTCTCTCCGGGCTATCCCTCCGTGTCCTTCCTCTCTCTCTCTCTCTCTCTCTCTCTCTCTCTCTCTCTCTCTCTCTCTCTCTCTCTCTCTCTCTCTCTCTCTCTCTCTCTCTCTCTCTCTCTCTCTCTCTCTCTCTCTCTCTCTCTCTCTCTCTCTCTCTCTTTCTCTCTCTCTCTTCTCTCTCCTCTCTCTTTCTCTCTCTCTCTCTCTCTCTCTCTCTCTCTCTCTCTCTCTCTCTCTCTCTCTCTCTCTCTCTCTCTCTCTCTCTCTCTCCACTTATGTATAAAGGTCACCGTCTTCCTGAATATGAATGACCCTTGAGTCCGGTTTCCATTTTTTTGCGGCCATGGTGGTGGTGATGGCAGGGAGGTGCTTGGCGCGTACTGCTGCTCTGGTCCCTCTCCGTCTGTGTGTGTGTGTAATTACCCGAGTGTAGTTACAGGATGAGAGCTACGCTCGTGGTGTCCCGTCTTCCCGGCACTCTTTGTCGTATATGACACTTTGAAACTACTGATGATTTTGGCCTCCACCATCTTCTCACTTAGTTCCAAGTTCTTTCAACGTGTGTTTTTTTCATGTATGTATAAAGTATTAGCCTATTTGTGCTTGAAGAATCGTGATTTAGCTCCTGGACCCCGCTTTTCTTTTGCAATGACTTCTGACTTTTCCCGCTATCATTTATAGTTATGAAATTATAGATGGAGTTCGCTTCTACAATCTGCTCCCTTATTTCCTTCCATTTCCCACTATTTTAATGTTAAAAGAAAACTTTCTAACATCTCTATAGTTGAATTGTTTCTCAAGCTTCCACCCATGTCCTCTCGTTTTATTGGTATTCACTAAGAACATTTATGTTTTCCTACTGTCAATCTCAAGATTTATTTGTGTTTCTATCATGTTTCTCCTCTACTTTTTTTCTGGCGTTGTTAGGTCTAGTTCTTTCATTCTTCATATCTCATCACTTTCATTTCTAGGACGAGACTCGTTGCAAACTTAAGAATGTTTTAGCTTCCTTATGTGTGATTTTTGTCAATGATTGCTCCACGATGGAGCGGCATAGTCGAGATCTGGTCTCACGTAGGTGATTACAGCGATCTAGATATCCCGTTATTTAGCTTCCTGAATGATGTTCTGACGTCCTTCAGTATGCTGCTGAAATCAGATTTATATATGCCCCGGGAGGATAGGCCTATGTCCACTCTCAGGTCTTGCTCAAGTTGTTATAGACCATAAGAACAAAGGCAACTGCAGAAGGCCTATTGGCCCATACGAGTAGGGGACGTAGTTGCACTGTGTACTATCTTTTGGCACCCCCCTGTCCCCATTTCCACACACCCCCTTACACTTACTGGTGTAGGTGTGTGGGTGTGGGTGGGTGAGGGCGGGTGAAGTGAAGGTTGGGTAGCCAACCTTTACTTACAACAAATTATGTAATATATCCCCTCGAGACACGGGCCTTCCCTCCCCCCCCCTCCCCAATTTCATCTCTATACTGAGATTGTTTTGACTTTTCATCTTTCCTTAAACAAAGATAACCAGAAGAGGGTCGTTGTGTTGTAAGTCAGTACGATGACACGCGCTGTTGTACGGAAACTGAGAAAAATTAAAAATTTGATGTTTTTCTAAATTTAAATGTGAACTATAATTTTTTGGCCCAAACAATTCGGTAAAGATGTGTTTTTTTTTTTTTAAGCCCAATGAAATTATTGCAATAGTGTGATATATGAGTGATAGAGTATTGAGATTATAAAATGGTATCGAACTCGGGTCTCGGGACTCTCTCTCTCTCTCTCTCTCTCTCTCTCTCTCTCTCTCTCTCTCTCTCTCTCTCTCTCTCTCTCTCTCTCTCTCTCTCTCTCTCTCTCTCTCTCTCTCTCTCTCTCTCACATACTCTCATACACTCTCTCATACTCTCTCACATACTCTCATACTCTCTCACATTCTCTCTCATACTCTCTCACATTCACACTCTCTCACACTCTCTTTCTCTCTAATCTCTCTCTCTCTACCCGCTTAACAAAGATAAACTAAAAAATATATCAACTAGATTTTCTTAAGATGTCCAGTGCCAAGTCCTCAAGAAAAGATATGGGCAAAAGCCATATGGAACAAGAATGTAAGAAAAAAAGCCCACCTGCATAGATACCAAATAAGACTTGGGTAATAAATCAAATACCTGCCAGTCTGCAAGCCGAAAACACTCAACGTAATCTGCTATCTCCTAGTTAAGAAACTAACCCGTCAACTATCTTCATGGTAAAAAGCCGACAATCGACTGTCATCCCGATAAAAAACTCATCAGTCCAGTAAACTATCTCCATTCTTGTTAAGGTCACTCAACTAGAGCGGCCACCACCTCACAGGGTATATATCGACCTCTTGAATCCCTGTGCTGTGCTTTGTCTAGTTTTACGCACCGAAATAAAAAGATTTGACAATATATCTCTGACGCTGAAAAGAGATAGTCCATAGCAGGGTATGTGGCAGACTGGCTATAGCTGCCAGCTTGCCTTGCTATAGCTGCCAGCTTGCCTTGTTATAGCTGCCAGCTTGCCTTGTTATAGCTGCCAGCTTCCCTTGTTATAGCTGCCAGCTTGCCTTGTTATAGCTGCCAGCTTCCCTTGTTATAGCTGCCAGCTTCCCTTGTTATAGCTGCCAGCTTGCCTTGTTATAGCTGCCAGCTTCCCTTGTTATAGCTGCCAGCTTGCCTTGTTATAGCTGCCAGCTTCCCTTGTTATAGCTGCCAGCTTGCCTTGTTATAGCTGCCAGCTTCCCTTGTTATAGCTGCCAGCTTCCCTTGTTATAGCTGCCAGCTTCCCTTGTTATAGCTGCCAGCTTGCCTTGTTATAGCTGCCAGCTTGCCTTGTTATAGCTGCCAGCTTGCCTTGTTATAGCTGCCAGCTTGCCTTGTTATAGCTGCCAGCTTGCCTTGTTATAGCTGCCAGCTTGCCTTGTTATAGCTGCCAGCTTGCCTTGTTATAGCTGCCAGCTTCCCTTGTTATAGCTGCCAGCTTGCCTTGTTATAGCTGCCAGCTTGCCTTGTTATAGCTGCCAGCTTGCCTTGTTATAGCTGCCAGCTTGCCTTGTTATAGCTGCCAGCTTGCCTTGTTATAGCTACCAGCTTCCCTTGTTATAGCTGCCAGCTTGCCTTGTTATAGCTGCCAGCTTGCCTTGTTATAGCTGCCAGCTTGCCTTGTTATAGCTGCCAGCTTCCCTTGTTATAGCTGCCAGCTTCCCTTGTTATAGCTGCCAGCTTCCCTTGTTATAGCTGCCAGCTTGCCTTGTTATAGCTGCCAGCTTGCCTTGTTATAGCTGCCAGCTTCCCTTGTTATAGCTGCCAGCTTGCCTTGTTATAGCTGCCAGCTTGTCTTGTTATAGCTGCCAGCTTGCCTTGTTATAGCTGCCAGCTTGCCTTGTTATAGCTGCCAGCTTGCCTTGTTATAGCTGCCAGCTTGTCTTGTAATAGCTGCCAGCTTGTCTTGTTATAGCTGCCAGCTTGCCTTGCTATAGCTGCCAGTTTGCCTTGTTATAGCTGCCAGCTTGCCTTGTTATAGCTGCCAGCTTCCCTTGTTATAGCTGCCAGCTTGCCTTGTTATAGCTGCCAGCTTGCCTTGTTATAGCTGCCAGCTTCCCCTGCTATAGCGGCTCAGAGTGTCAACAACGGGCAGACCCACGCTGCATTCAGGGGTTCCTAGACGCCATCTGTGAGGAGCTGGAGGAATTCCAGTGATCCACGTCCTGGTCATATGAATTACTTGCCACCATATTGTTGATAACGTTTCATTCACTTTGACCATCGGAGCCTCGAACCGCGGCTCACAGAAGCAGGAGCCCACAGTCGCACATACTGAGCCAGCAGCTCGCACAATAAGAGAGGATCCAAGGGGCACGCCACTACAGTGGTCCACGTGATTGAAATGTTATCCACAATATGGTTCTTAGTAGTTTATTACATATTTATGTATTTATATTTATACATATAATGTATACTTTTTTTAATGTGTAGAACACACCAATCAATCCATTTGGACCCATAGAACGAAGATGAATGAATCATTCAATGTTATTCCAGGTGTGGAGAGTGAGGGTCTCGCTTCGTTCAGGTCCTCAGTCATTTCGGCTTTTAATTGTCGGGTCAAGCGGTCGGTGAGTATCTGGAGCTTTCACCAAGTCTTGTGTGCGTGTGTGTGCTCGACTAGTTGTGCTTGCGGTGGTTGAGCTCTGGCTCTTTGGTCCGTGTGTGTGCACGTGTGTGTGTGGACGTAGATCAAGGAAAGCATTACAAGGACACAACTCCCTCTCGTCAACCCTCCCTGCTTCCCGGGGCTGTTTTACCGCGAGAAGAACCAACCAACCAGCCAGCCACGCACGCACTTCAGCGCGCCACGCGAGCATGCTTAACCTCTGGAATCATTATCCTCTCCCCCCCCCTCCCCGCGCTGTCCACTCAGCTACCAGACCCTGCAGTCTGGCAGCTGAGGGTGGTGGGTTTATATGTCTGTGAGTGGTGGGTTTGCGTGTCTGTGAGTGGTGGGTTGTGTCTGCAAGGTCGCAGAGGCCGCAGGACGCCACCTTGAGGCCCGTTATACACACCGGGGGATTACTGTAAAAAGTGAAGACGAGTTTGTCGGTGGTAAAAGTATTAGCGGGAGGGAGAGACGTGAGAGGGAGTGATAGTGAGAAGAGACGGGGACACATTCAGTACAGGAGGACGTATTTAGCAGAGGTGGGCTGAACAACTGGACAGATGAACAGTGGTAGACCACAGGAAGAGGAGGATAGACAGAACAGGCAATAGACAGAACAACTGAAGGAACAGTACCAAAAGTCAGAAAGTCATAGAAAACGAAGAGAAGTCAGTCGAGGAAAAGGAGAAGCGGTAGAAAAGAGGAGAATAAAGAGTAAGAAGCAACCCCCCCGAGGGGGCCCAGGGAAGTAGAAGACGAACCAGTGAGGTGATAGTTCATGTACGATAACAGGAGGTAATTAAAGATGGAGTGGTGCTTGAGTGGTGGTGTAGTTTTTTCCGCGAGCGCTATGAATCCTGGCCGGGGAATTTAAATTGTGAACTGTAGCCTCTGTTTAACGCAACAGTAAAATGTGTACTTGGATGAAAAAACGATTCTTCGCGGTGGGGATCGTATTCCAGGGACCATAGGATTAAGGACTTGCCCGAAACGCTACGCATACTAGTGGCTGTACAAGAATGTAACAACTCTTGTATATATCTCAAAAAAAAAAAAAAAAAAAAAAAAAAAAAAGTGATGGGGAGGTTCAGCCTTGCAATGTGGATAGGTGGAGGGAGGGTGAGGAAGGTAGGAACTGATGAGTACAGGTGGGTGTGGAATGAGTACGGGTGAAGGAGAGGTATGGAAATTAATATGCGAAAGTTGGTGCATTGTGAGTATACGTCCCTGAAGGTGCATTTATTTTTTTAAACTGCATTTTATCTGGGAAATATGTTTGGAAAGACATGTTTGGCTTAGAGTAGATCCAAGCTCTTTGGGGCCACCAAGAATTGTCTTCTAACATTCGATTTGTGTTTCCACAGCCTGGTGGCTTGCTGTTGTATTCCACACCCTGGTGGCTTGCTGTTGTATTCCACATCCTGGTGGCTTGCTGTTGTATTCCACATCCTGGTGGCTTGCTGTTGTATTCCACAGCCTGGTGGCTTGCTGTTGTATTCCACATCCTGGTGGCTTGCTGTTGTATTCCACAGCCTGGTGGCTTGCTGTTGTATTCCACAGCCTGGTGGCTTGCTGTTGTGTTCCACAGCCTGGTGGCTTGCTGTTGTGTTCCACAGCCTGGTGGCTTGCTGTTGTGTTCCACAGCCTGGTGGCTTGCTGTTGTGTTCCACATCCTGGTGGCTTGCTGTTGTATTCCACAGCCTGGTGGCTTGCTGTTGTATTCCACAGCCTGGTGGCTTGCTGTTGTATTCCACAGCCTGGTGGCTTGCTGTTGTATTCCACAGCCTGGTGGCTTGCTGTTGTATTCCACAGCTTGGTGGCTTGCTGTTGTATTCCACAGCTTGGTGGCTTGCTGTTGTATTCCACAGCTTGGTGGCTTGCTGTTGTGTTCCACTGCCTGGTGGCTTGCTGTTGTGTTCCACTGCCTGGTGGCTTGCTGTTGTATTCCACACCCTGGTGGCTTGCTGTTGTATTCCACAGCTTGGTGGCTTGCTGTTGTATTCCACACCCTGGTGGCTTGCTGTTGTATTCCACAGCTTGGTGGCTTGCTGTTGTATTCCACACCCTGGTGGCTTGCTGTTGTATTCCACAGCTTGGTGGCTTGCTGTTGTATTCCACAGCTTGGTGGCTTGCTGTTGTATTCCACAGCTTGGTGGCTTGCTGTTGTATTCCACAGCTTGGTGGCTTGCTGTTGTATTCCACAGCTTGGTGGCTTGCTGTTGTATTCCACATCCTGGTGGCTTGCTGTTGTAGTCTGATGTTCTGTTGAATTGGTTGCAAGAGCTGTAGCGATGCTGGAGGCTGATCAAAGACGAGGATGGACTAAAGCCTTGAACAAGTAACGTTGGTGTTGTGCTAAGGTAACGGGAGAGTCATGCTTAGCCTAAAGCGATTTTTTTTTGTACTTTATTGTCATTGACGTGAGAGTTGATACTTGTTCCTGTAAGTCCAGAGTCCCATTATTTTGCCTACACTCGCGCGTTGATTTGGACAGTTATTGAGCGTGATCTGTTGCTACTGTTCCTGGTAAGGGCTGGCACAAGAATTCGACCAACTACCAAACACTTAGTTTCATGAAAGGGAGCAGTAGAACAACAAGAGTACACTTACATCGCATCAGGCTTGGGAAATAGGCTTACAGGTTCCGGAAGATGAGAGGAAATGTCAACACTGTGGAGAAATGCCCGACAGACCACTGGAACATTATCTAACACAGTGCGCAGTTCCAAACCTATTAAGAATTCAACGAAGATTCAACAGAGCTGTTGTTGTTAAACATGTGGGACAAACTCTTACTGAAGCGACCATACTCATACTCCTCCCAAGTAAAACAGAAACAAGCAACACTTAGTGGGCTAGCCAGAGGCTTTGGGCCCGCGCAGGAATATCCCTGAAAAAAATGCTACTGTTGCTACTGCTGTTGCTTCTGTTCCTCCTTTGCTTGTGCTGATTCTGGCGGTGTTGGTCACTCTCACAATGCCACTACTACTTGTGGGTATGCTGTCGGTATTGAGGGTTATGCTGTGGGGGGTATCAACGTCGTCAGCGTCGCTGCCTCAGCTATGCTTTCCCGCGCTGCCCGTCGTGCCCAGCCGCCGCCGCGGAAGGCTGCACGGCGGGGCGCGGGAAAGAGCGTGGGAGAGGCTAGGAGGGGCAAGGGGCGCAACGGAGATGGGGCCGGGGGAAGGGAGGAGAGGGACTGGATTGTGACCACTGGCAGATGGATGGGGACAGGAGCCAGAGGGAAGGGGGGGAGGGAGGAACGGATCGCGGAAGGAGTCAGGAAATAGTTAGAATAGGAAAGTCCGTAGATTAGGAAATAATGCAGGTGAGACCGTGAAGAGGTGGTGGGAGGGATGGTCCGGGGATCGTCAGAGGATAGGAATGAGGAAATGACTGAAGAGTGGTGTGAAATAGTGAGTGGGTGTGAGAATGTATAGAATACGGTAGATTGAAAATGGCCTTGAGAAGACATGAGACCTATTCTGGAGAGTAAGATCTTGTGAGAGGGTCAGGTGGAAGCACCAGGGGAGAGAGGACAAGTGAGAGGGTCAAGAAGAAGCACCAGGTGAGAGAGGACAAGTGAGAGGATCAAGAAGAAGCACCAGGTGAGAGAGGACAAGTTAGAGGGTCAAGGAGAAGCACCAGGTGAAAATGTCAGCTGAAGACGCCAGGCGAGAAGACCAAGAGGAAGTGGTGAGAGGCCACCTCTCACTGGCTAGTGAGAGGTGAAGGCTGAAGGTCTAGAGATCATTTAGGGTCAACAGGACCTCCTCACGAAAAATATTTAATGAAGATTTTTCCACCTCAAATATATCCTTCTTTCTGTCCCACCCTCTCTCCCTCCCTCTCCCACCCACTCTCTCCCACCCTCTCTCTCCCAACCTGTCTCCGTCTCCCCGGTCTCCCTCTCTGTAGCCACCAGAATTCAAGGAGGAATGAGCAGTCACACGCAGGCCAAGACATCTTTGTGTAAATACTGGTTTGTGGGTCCTGGGATGTCTTTGAGTGGCTCCATAGGGGGAGGGTTGACCTTAGTGATATCTAGCATGCTTTCAAGACTCCTGATAATTGTTAGTTTGTGCGGATTCTGGAGGTTTCTGGGTGGTTACTGGGGACGCTCTGTAGGCTTCTAGTATCGTTTGAGAAGCGGAGATTGAACATTGGAGAGTCTGGAGTCATTATCAGCCAAGAGGCTAATATTTAAATACTCCCGGAATCTCTTGATGACTTTGCTTTTGGAACGTAATCTCTTGGCTAAAATTGGGAACACTTTGAGTGCTTCGTAGGTCCTAGTAGTTATTCAAGCGTTGCTTGAAAGCGCCTCTTCGGTACGTAAGATACCCTTATCTTACGTACCGAAGTCCTAGTATGTACTATGATCCATTTGCATCTATCCATGGATCGTATGTGATGGGTCTTACTGTCTCTTTGGATCTCTTAAAGTTTTCTTGGTTACTTTTGGTACCTCTTGAAGGCTCTTAGTAGCTCGTGGTAGCTACTTCTTAGTAGCTTCTAACTACTCCTTATCTCCTCCTAGTAATCTTAATAGAATTCACAGCTTCATCTGGTATTTGAAAACACTCCTGAAGGCTTCTCGTAGCTCAACAGGGTTTCTAAAGTCTCTTGCCACCTGGAATATATATATATATATATATATATATATATATATATATATATATATATATATATATATATATATATATATATATATATATGCAACCCGTTCTCGCAAATTTAATAAGTCAATATTGACTTATTAGTTGCGTGCATAGGTGACATACTAAACATAATAGTTTCCCTTGAAAAGCTTCATAGAAAACACCGACCTCACCTAACCTACTTAGTCTGTTAAAATAAGCATCTTATAGCTTCGTAATTACAATTGTTACTTACCCTATTATAGGTATAGGTTAGGTAATAATTGTAATTACGAAGCAATAAGATACTTAACATACTAAGTAGGTTAGGTAAGGTCGGTGTTTTCTATGAAGCTTTTCAAGGGAAACTATTATGTTAAGTATGTCACCTATGCACATATTTAATAAGTCAATATTGACTTATTAAATTTGCGAGAACGGGTTGCAACATATATATATATATATATATATATATATATATATATATATATATATATATATATATATATATATATATATATATATATAAATTAGGTATTTCGATGACATCTAGGACCTTCCGAGGCCTAATGGGCCCCCCCTTAAGATCTTCAGTAGTTCTCTGTGACTCCTGGTGTCTGGTCTTGTAAGGTCTCTTGTAAGCGTCGACTCTCTACGTATAGATTCAACCCATCGTCTTGTTTAAATACTAATTTGTGTAGTTATGTGGATCATCGTACATAAATGAACAAATCCACAAGGGTCGTGACGAGGATTCGAACCTGTGTGTAGTGTAGTGTTATCATCGTACATATATTGACGTAATGGACAGTTAGTCGAGTTTTGTACTATTCACTTTACAGAGTCCGGAAAAAATAAATGCTAAAAACCGAATTTAAATATTCCTAGGCCTAGTATAGCACACGTGGATTATAGTAGGCCTCACATAGCGTGTATTAGGCTGGTTAGGTTGGTTTCATTAGCAATATAAATACAAAACCTTTTCCGGGATGGTCCAGGATGAACCGAACCGTCGTCGTCTCATCTTCTGATGTAAAACTACATCCTGTGAGTAGTTTTGTAATCATATCTTCAGTCACGTTATTGTGACTCATCGTCTGCAAACCTTTTCCGGTTTGTTAAAATTCAATAATACCAAATTCTATGTTGACTAAATCACATACTAGAAGGTGAAGGGACGACGACGTTTCGGTCCGTCCTGGACCATTCTCATGTCGATTGTGAGCTATCTAGATAAGATCTATCTTATCTAATGGTGCATTAGGTCAATATATGTACGATGGTCCTCATCTTTACTATAACTCGTGTCTAAACAGGAGGATGGGTTAATAGATTTGTGAAGCATCGACTCGACGTAAGCATTTAAAAGATCCTTCCCATTGTTCAATTCCAGATAACACGAACTAAGAGATGCGTTTTGTTGATTCCGTCAATATTTTTTAAAAGGCAGATGTGCACATTTGACCATCATAAAGTCCAAGGCAGAGAACTCCAGTACACTGCCAAAGTCATCATAAGTACTAAAGGAAACTGCAGGAGGCTTATTGCCCCCTGCGACACGTTTCATCGTGTACGCTACTTACTGTCTTTATTTATCCTTTATATTACAGTGTTGTGGGCTGTATCCTGGAGGTGGTGAGTGGTTGTACTGTATCCTAGAGGTGGTCAGTGGTTGTACTGTTGTAACACGGGTTAAGTTCCCCTCTCTTTACTTCCTTCTTTCTACTCCCTCTACCCGTATTCTTACTTTTATTTCTAAACCAAGGGACTCCAAAACTTTTACCAAAGCCAACTCCACGCCACGTGGTCCTAAGACGATTGACCGACTTAGGATTCTACACCCAGTATGACGTGACCTAAGCTCTGAACAAAACCCTAGAGTCACCTCTGCTGCCACCACCAGACCAGTAATACAAGAGCAATGATCGAGGTCTGGATCGATCACGCTAATTAATCAACCTAGGGGCTTGATCCCCACTATAAACGATGACCTTGAGTGTGGAATAAATTACACGGTAATGATAATTCCGATTCGATGTTAGAATCGGCGCCCAATGCAACTCTGCCTCGTGTGGACCACGTGACCAGGACAAGTATACACATAAAACACATGGAAACAATAAAATGCAAATTAATAACAAATTTAATTTATTAAAAGAAAACTAAAACAAAATCTAAATATGTTCACTCCCTATCACTTTAACACTCCCTACTTGACCTGAGTGGCAAATGAGACTATTTCTATACTTAACAATAGCAACTATACCTTGGGCGACCACAGCTCTAGGTGTTGGGGCTGTTCTTGGGGAGAGGTAAGATGTTGACCTCTTATCCCAGCTGCTTCCGTGACCACACTGATTTTTTCCTTGTCTGGACTACCCCAGACAGAGTATTGTATTGTTCCGCATCGCTTACCCAGTTACTTTAGCAAGGTTAAGTTATAACAATTAAACTCTGTTGTACTTAATTGATCCAGACTGGTTGAATTATTTTACTGAATTAAATTACAAACATCTAACGGCAGAGCTGTTCCCGATCCCCAAAATGGTTAATAAAACTTTGAGAAATATTAGACATGTCAACCCTGCTGAC